ATAAGAGCTGATGGTGGAATTCTGATACTGCTTTAGCCAGGAATTTTTCTGTTCGCACGCTTGACTATTAACGTGTTTCAGTTCAGGGTACGTATTCATATTTCTATGAGTCGAGCACATTTCCCTGATATGGTTTTACTGATGCATACGGTCAATTAATAATAGACTCTCGAATAAGAATTGTGAATTTCGTGTGATGACAATTTCATTTCCATATCGTTTTTGAAAATAGATATGGACGCTGCAAGCATTATCGTACAAAAAGACGTGCGGAATTCCACTTAAATCGCTGATTCTTGAAAGCACTGTGAACCAGTGATAAAGTACGAGTCGTACCTGTTCACTTGTATATAGTTCAGTATAATCGACAACGATATCGCAGTTAAGCATTGTAAACAACAATCCGTTCGATGTCTTACGATCTTTTCCCAGTGTTCATGACACATTACATGTGTCAGGATAATAGCCGATGGTATCATTGTCTTTCGTGTCGGTGGAAATCATAGTGGGATGTTGACTAGCAGTAAGAGTCGTCATCGATAACTGTACTTTACTATCTAAAAAAAGATGAAGACAACTGATCAATTTATACGCATTTGAACGGCAGTACCTAGAACGGATGATAGACATTCGTCACAAAATCCATCTGCACCTGGTTGTCGTTTTTTCCTCGGAGTTTTGCCACAATCGATTCGAATTTCACCTAAATGTATAGTTAAAAATAATGACAATAATAAATAGAAACAAAACATTACCTAGTTCAGGACTTGCTGTAGTAAGGGACGAGTTGCGACAGACCCACCTGTCGCCTTTAGCCCAGCCGTCAGTGACGAACGCCTGAGAACATGAGCTTGAACAACGATTCAGATGCCGATGATGAGACCCGAAATTGGTGAATGTACGATGAAGAAGATCGTATTTTATCATCATTGAGTTGAAAATATCATCAGGCTGTACTGAAGTACAAATTTCCACTCGTTCCGTTTTGTAAAAGAAAAAAGTCATGATGCAGAATTGATAAACGAAGTACTGCGACTGTAATAGTAATCGATCAAGTTTGCGCTCATCTAAAATAGTTTCTAGACCTAGTTGTTTGTCGATGTACGCTATTCTTTGCACATAGGAATTAAAGGACTCTTCGTAGTTTTTAAAACCGGAATATTGATGGAGAAGGCAACCGGTAAAATTTGTGAATAAATTAATGCCACAGGCAGTTCTACCACCCAAGTAGAAATATTTTTGTTTATATAAGGAATTGGTGGTAAGAAATTTCTTATTGTTATCGGTAAGTGTGTTGGGGTAATATATCATAAAACACCTAGAACATGTTGAGTGGTAAACTACACCGTTCTTGACTCCGTCTAGCTGAAATATAGCCACTAATTGAGGTTGGATGACGAGTTCTAACGGTTGATCGCAGCCAATACATCTCTCGTTGAATGGCAGTAAATTAATTGCGAACGACGCAGAGTCAGATGAGTGAAATTGTTTTTGTAGCGCTTCGTCGATGACAGTTGCGTTGACAAAGTTCAGTAATCTCGAATTTTGAATCTTTAGACGGACCCGTCCAATGAGAAATATTACGGGCCGTTTTTTAAGTTTTCGGACCCCGTCTTTTTATCCGTTTTTACGCTCTTGGGCGCAAAGATATTGAAGCATTTCTCTTTGAAATTCATGTTGATTTAAACTTGGTTAAAACAATTGTTTTAGCTGATATTTCCAAATATAGCGAATTTCTGAATGAAAAGGAAATTTTGATTGTCTTAGGTAAGAATATGTAGTTATATTCCATTTGAATTAATAACAACTGTCAAAGATCAGATTAGATAATGCACTTATGAGAGACTCATGTTTTACATTTCGAAAGGAACATTAAACGACATCAGTAGATTGGTAAAACTCCTCTAACGTTTCACGGCATCACTATCTACTGTGAATCAATATCTATGTGAATCTACTGTGCTAGTAAGCTAGTAACATTGATCTCATTGAATTATGCCTGTCTCAGTAAATTTCAGTTTGTTTACATATGATGTTAAACCGTATTTAAACAAAAACGTTTAATTGTAGGATATAATAAGGTCGACGTCTTTTCTATCTCATTCATGCCGATGAATGTTTCTTCCACCAGTCTAAAAATATCTTATTCTTCGAGAATGATAACTTTGCTTGACGCTTTATGTATCTTTTTGCAAGCTGGAAATAGGTTACAGACAACGTAACCAGTAGCCTGTCCTGTCAAAATTTTCGCAATCTATAACATGTCCTTAACTGCGAAGTCGTAACCTAAACCTCTCCTGCTCTGCAAGACAGAACGGATTACCCGTAATCTATCGGGCTCTGATTCTGACACCATCCATGTTAGAATACACAAAAAATACTTACAACATGGACATGCCGATATTGGTGGTACATTGACTAATTTGGGCAATGTTTATCTTGAACAGGGTAAATATGATCGTGCAGCTGAATATTTTAAAAAAGCTCAAAAATTAACGAATCATACGTCTCAATCATC